GAGAGGAACAATGTAATTATTCAATAACACCACCAAATAATTTCATAAATGAAGTGCTTTTTGAGAGCTTGTGGGATGAAACTTCACAAGCTTAACGAGGTCTGATCCAAGCAACAACATTAAGAGAGAATATCCACATGTACATGTACATAAAAAGTACACGGTTCATACATGTTCACTTACTGCTTGACAAACAATATCACACAGAGTGCCTGGCTATTTCAAAACTATGGTACATGTACGTACATGTACATGTAAATTTCTACGGTACATACAGTACAAGGTTGATTCTCAATATTCAAAAGTCCCAAGTCACTTTCCAGTCCTTTTGTAACAAGATACACAATTTCACTTGTCTCAGCAATGTACCGGTACATACATGTACATTTACATGTACAGTACAACGCTCAAGGAGAAATTCTATCGGATCATTCTTTAAGTTAAAATTGGATCCATTACTGTACAATGTAAAGTGTAAACTGAGCTGCTATCATAAACTCCAATCAACTTGAAGCTACACATGTACAATGCAGCTACATGCACTGTATACTGTACATCCTCTGCAATAATAGACTCCTTGCCGCCAACACACAGTTTACAATCGATGCTGATTCAATTGAAATTACAGCACACGCACCGATACGTGTAGGGGGCTCATTCAATGAGACGATCACCAAAAGGGAGGAATACTTTTCACACAATCAAATGACGAGAAATCCCCCCTGTTGGCCACAAAGACCTTGGCAGCATCATTGATCCAGCACGTTGCAAGTTCCGGCACTGAGGACGGTCAAGTGAGAGAGAGGATCATGTAACAGAAAGAAAAGGTAAAGTGTATGCATTCCATATAGGAACTCCTATGGAATTCATGTCCATGCATCTGTCAATAGTAATCTCTTACTAATGTGCAGAAAATGTTTTACAATGCGACACTTCTCAATCAATCTCATGCATGAGTGAAAATTCTCCATCAGAGAAGCTATTCATGTCAAAAAAGAGAAGACTCTTCTCCAGCATCAATTTTAAAATGTCAAAGCCGGTTCATGTGCCAGTACATGTACTTCAGGCGTTCATGTACATGTATGTATAAAGCAAAGCCAATTTGAAGCCATGAAAGATTTGCAGCAAAGTTTCACTCGAGATGAAATAACGTTCAACTTTTGCAAATTCGCTGTGTAAAGCTTTGACCTGACATCACAAACTCGTATTTGTGTTCACTTTTGTGCCAAGTACATGTATGTACATATATGAACTGGCCCTTTTAATGCTTAATGTTATATGAATTAAAACTTGACGGCTAAATTTCTTCAGAGCAAAATCTGTAGAATATGAGGCCTCCAAGGTTAGATATATTCATTGGTACCTGAAAAATGGATTCTTCAATGCATTAAAGATCAGTCACACCGCTTTTATGTTAAAAGGTTATTAAACAGGGAACTGGTCATTATTACCCATATACATGTAGTGACTGCCATACCCCTCCCCGTACATGGAGCAGCTTCTCTTCGCATTTATAAAAAAAATCATCCTTTTGGGAGTTCAGTTCCGCTGCGCAATACTCAGAGTAAAAAAATGAGTTGATAAGGGCAGCAAACAAATCTAAAGATTTGATGATGTCATAATAAGGCTCTCTTTCCCCCAGAGTTTCTTGACCTTGCAACCATAATAAGGGCTTTTTAGTGCAAGAAGAGAGAAAAAGGGGGACTAGTAAGTTAGAGATCATTCTCTGCAATGACTGCGGCTATCTGCCTGAAATTCATCGGGACCTTACTCTCCAAGGTTCAAATTGGGACAGTTCAACTTTATCATACGATCCAGTGCTGACAGCATCTTGACTTGTCTGATCAATGCTGTCGATGTAATGAAAGCAATTCCAAGTCACTCATACTATCCAACCTCTTTTAATTCACAGTTAAGTTCGAGCAAGCACAGTGGTCACGCACACATCCTTGCACAGCTATACTTGTGGGGTATTTCCTTTGTTCTTGTGTACAAAACTCCCACACAACACGCAAAAAATTCAAATCACTCTAATTTAAACCAAATTCACTTTCCTGGGTTGAAATTTCAACCGTATGTCCCTTATATAAAACACTTCAATTTGTGACAGATTTTTACCCATCAAAAATTTCCCCTTTTTGAGTTATTTCCAAATATCAGTTTTGTGAAATTCTTGTAAGGTAAAAACTGGCCTTGTGCTCATGCTTTTGATGTAACAATTTTAATTTAGTTTTTACATAACAGATTGTTTTTAAATATAACTAAATTTCACAAAAAGTGAAATTGTAAATTATCAATGTGACTGATCTTTAAAATCATTCTTAACCCCTTCGCGCCGGGAAGCATAACATGACTATTATGAGTGCTAAACATACAAAAACAAATCATCATCAAAGCTACCGGTGCCTTGACACATGTACAGGTGCATGTGTCCTGAAAATGGCACCACATGTACCTCAAGCATAATGGATTCATTGAAACAGGAAAACTTTCCCTGAGAATCTTTTTAATTACTTATTTTCTATTTTGAATTACTTTTTTCCTATGGTTGCAAATAGATCCCACAGTAAATGAGCAGATAAGTCAGGTAGGCCTAAGATGTACATGTACCTGACTGGTGGATGGTCCTATGTGTCAATTTGAGCGGAGCACTTTCCCTCTCTGATAAATGCTTGTGACATTTTGGTTTTCCTCAATACCGGTATATACACAGTGAACAAAACTAGCTAACAAAACTGTGCTGAATATCCAAATAACCGAATATTTGATCGATTGTCGAATATTCAAATGTTATTTTTTGAATTTGAAGATTCGAATGCAAAATTCATGAAAAGGAAAGGAAAATTTTCTTTTGTTTTAAATGTTTTGTTCGAAATAAAAAAAATTGCACTATGG